AACAGCAAATGAACGACTTTGCTCCCTCCCAGGAAAAGAGTTTGAAAGTCCCCCTGTGTCGGTGTTCCAGCTGCACACTCCACAGCATTTCCCCTCCAGCCAGGGAACCCCGGGGCTGGCGGGACCTGTACCATGAGTAGTGTAAATCTTGTTCTTTAGGATCTAAAGAGGGCACTCGTGTGCTGTGAGAGTAGAGATTGTTCCTGTCAGCGATTACATACTGTTTATACAAACCACTGTGAACTTTTTTTACGTTCAATTTTATTTTAAAGGGATTGCTTTACTTTTAATGTCTTGTCATGTACACGTTAGTTTTATTGCTGTTGACATTAGGAATAACCTTCAACCTTGCCAGCACCACTGGTAGGATGTATATTTAATTCAGACACACATCCCTCTCCGTATACTTCAAATGACAAAGCCATTCTTTTAAGTGTTTGTCTCTTTCCTGAAGCCAAAGTTCGCTTAGAAACCCGTTTGTACACAGCCCCCCTGCTGAGTTGGCCGGGCTTCCCATCCACGCCTTCCTCTCGGAGAGAAAAGGAAGTGCTGGCTGGAAATAGCAAACAGAAAGGCTTGTCCGTGCTTGGAGTGAACACGTTCTTGTACAGTTTCCGTGCGTTCAGCTGAGCAGATCCCAGTGCTGAGACAGCAGTCCCGGGGCAGTGACACAAATGGCTCTGGGAGTGACGGAAATGGCTCTGGATCTGCTGCAAGGGGTTTGTGCATTTCAGCATAAAGACTTTGTTCTACAAAGAAACCTAGAAACTCGCTTGATAAGCCAACCAGAGGTGTTGATCTTGATCACCGGTTTATATAAATCTCTCACAGAATCTTGTTTTTTAAAAACTGTTGATCTTTTTTGAACAGATGACAGTGTACAATATCATGTAGTGAAAATCACTTATTAAATGAAGAAATTGTTAAATCTTCTCAGTGTCGGTTTATCACAACATATACACTACTGCTCTCCCAGGGCCTGACGTAGAGAAATAAATTGTTCTGGAAACCCACGGATTCTTGGTTTGGATTTGTCTGAGCTGCAAGAGGTGATTTTAAACAGCACTGTTGGGTTTAGCTCTGGGTCTGGAGCCTCAGGCAGAGGCCCCTCCCAGCTGAGGGGCGCACACCTGGGGCCACTGGTCCTGAGCTGGTGTTTGCCAGGGCTGGGCAGCAGCACACGGGCGTGGGAGGACAAGCTCAGCTCGGCTCCTCTTCATTGTTTTGTGCACTGGGGGTTGGCCTTGAGTGCAAGTGCTGCTCTGAGAGGGTTGGAGCTGAGACCAGACCCATTTCCTCTGGTTTTTAATTAGAGAACTAAATTTCTGGTGAAATGGGGAACCTGAGTCCATGTTATCACTGCTGGCTGCTGGGGCAGAAGGCTCTGTGGGGACAGGTGAGGTGTGTGCCTGCTCCAGCCTCCACAGGACCAGCCTGGGCTCCTCCACTGCTGTGTGGAAAATGCTGTGGGGTGTCGAGCACTCAGAGCAGGCAGTTCTTACCCTGTCCCTGCTCTAGGACAGCTGCAGTGCTGCTGCATCCACCGAGGAACGAGTTTGTCACTGGAATGCCCAGCTCTGTCCTGATGTCCCACTGAATTCCCCTCTACTTCTGCAGTGAGTGGGACTCATCTGCCATAAATGCATTTTCTGGGCAGTCCACAGCTATTGCCTTTATTTTTTCAATTTATTTCTCTGAATCAAAGAGCCATTTTCCTGCTCTGAAGACATTTTTCCCTTCCCTCTACAGCTGATTAATCAAAAAACTCTTAACCTCAGCTGAGCTTGCTAGATCAGATGTCACAGATTACCTGGTAAGGCTGTCTCACCACCTCACTTTCACCCTTTGAATCACACTTGTGGTTTCTTTTATAGCTCTATAATTTTTTTCTCTCCTTGTCCAACACCCTGCCCATCTGTTACTGCTGTTGTGTGTGACAGCACGTGTCACAGTTGGGATGTTCCTGCTCTGGAAGGGACACTGTCACCCCTCCTCTGGCCCTGCTGCCTCTGGCTGTGCCACACCTTTGTCCTCCATGCCTTGTTTTTTTCTCTCCCCAAACGCAGTTTCGGTGACACAGGTGCCTATTCTGGGCTGTGTTCTCTGCCTGGCTGCATTCCCCGAGGTTGGGTCATTCCTCAGTTCTCCCAGGGCTGGAGGTGGATGGGTCCTGTCCCACCATGGCAAAGGGAAGGAGCTGCTGCTCCTGCTGTGGGTTCTGAGCAGCTCAGGCACCTTTTATGGCCATTTGTTGGGGTTGGGTTGTTTTGATCAGTGGAGGAGGAGATGCTAATTGTTTTTCCATAATGACATTTGTAGGAATATTTAGCTGACATGTGAAATGGCTGGAGCAGCCAAGGCCTGTGTCCCCACATCCCAACACCAATTCCTGCTGGCCCAGAGCTCTGTGGATGCTGCAAAGAATGGATTGGGCTGGGGAGAGGCACTGGGCTGTGCCAGAGGTCTGCACAACAGGTAGCAGGAAATTGTGGTAAATCCGAATTCTCTTCAATCCCTGTTGTGTGCCCTGGAAAGAGTGATGAGATCTGAGGCACGCTCACGTTGGGTGTCCCTCCAGGCACTGGGGTGTTTCTCTGGTTTCTCCAAGGTGAAGTCTGTCCTTGCCATCAGCTGTGGAAAGGCTGGTTTTCCACACAGGTCATTCTTGCCTGTTCTGGTTTGTTTTGGATGTGTCAGGGCTGCTGTTGTGTTCAGCTCCAAGTCAGGCTGACTTCAACAACAACAACACATCAATTTTCCTTGGAGCATCAGAACCGAGTCCCCAGCAGAGCTCAGGCCACAGGGAAAAATGGGGATTTTATTCACACACGCCTTTCCTGGTGGGGGTTTTCTCCTTAAACCTCATCCAAAAGGGGCTGGATGTGATGAGCTCTCAGTGCAGATCTTCCCCCATTACCTGATTGCTGTTTGCTGGACTCAGCTGAAACCAAAATGCCCAAATTAACTGGAAACTCCCAGGCTAAACCTCCCTGCCCCAGGTCCAGGGCTGTGCCTTTGCTGTGCCACTCCAGAACTCTGTAAGTTGACGTTTTGGGGTGATGGTTGAGGGATGGATTTGGAGCTCCAGGAAGGGGTAACCTGTGCTCATTCCCCATCACCCTGGGAAGGACAACAGGGATGTGTGCTTCGGGATGAAGTGCTAGAAATACTCTATAAGATATTCTATATTAAAGCAGGAAAAGCTTTAAACACTCCAGGAGAAAATATTTTCAAAGAAACATCTTTGAGTTTTAGAAGTGTAGAACTGGAGAGATGTTTATTTCTCCGACAAAATTAGGAATATTCCGAGTTTGTCCCAGCAGAGGTGCCACAGAGCTGGGTCCCAGGTGCTTTTCACAGCTGAGTTTTTCTGAGGACTTCCCAAACCAGCTTGTGTTTGAGAGATCGGGGGGTAACAATAAACACGAAGAGGCCTCTGACAAAACACGAGCCTATAAATGGAGGCAGATTAATCCAGGCCCGATTCCTGGATTTTACGGCTCACATTGATCCCTGGACCTCCACCGACTTCACGGGACTAATCTGTCCGTGCTCAGCAGCTCTCTCTGGGATCGGCTGAGTCACAACTTAGGTTCGCGACTCTCCTGGATCTTTGCTTGTTGTTTCGGGTGATGGGGAAAAAAGTTTAAAAACCATGAAAAAAAAAGTTTAAACTCCATCCGGCGTGCCCTGTTCCAGCAGCTCCCGCCGAGGGACGAACCGCGGGCAGCCTCAGGAAAAAAGGCCGCGGAAATGGGAAATGTCGGGGATGGACGGGGGCCTGGCTCGGGGACCCGCTGAAGTTTCTCGGGGCGCGGTGGGAAGGAGGCGGCGGGGCCGCCCCTGGCCGGGGGGAGGCGGAGCCGGGCCGGGGGAGGCTCCGCGGACGGCGGGAGGCGGCGATCGCAGCCGGGACGCGCACGGTACCGGGGAGCTGGGGGCGGCCGGGAGGGTCCCGGGGCTCGGCCCGGTGGGTGCTGGCTGGGGTGGGGGGGTCACAGCGGGACCCTCCCGGGCCTGCCACGTCTTTCCCCTCGGGGTCCCGCCGCGGCTGCGGGCTCCGTCCTGCTCTGGGCGTCGCCGTGGCCGCTCCGCTCAATGCTGGGGACAGGGGAGGTTGGGGAGCTCCGGGGTCCCGGGTGCTCCATCCACCGGCGGCTCCAGGCCCGCGGCAGCCCCGAGGCCGTCCCGCACGGGGCTCGATGCCCGGGACCGCTCCCGTGGCAGAGAACGAAGGTGCTGCCCCTGTGACGGCACCGTGGGACCAGCTCCCTCCTCCCGGCAGGTGACAGAGCTGGGAGCGGAGCCCACCGCGGCCCCGGGGAGTGGAGGAGAGGGCGAGCAGCCCTGGGGCACGGGCGGGCCAAGGGACCCCGAGTGAGGTGCTGAGCTCCCCGGACGGCTCTGGGCAAGGACGGGTGCCCGCAGAACGGGACGAGGATGTGCTGGCGGCAGGAGCGGATCTCGGGGGATTTGTGGGCCAGACAGCCTCGTGGGGCTACCCAAAGAGGAAGGGATGCTGGTGGGGTTGTGATAAAAACACGAGAGCCTCTCCTGCAGGCAGCCACGCAGCCCATCTGAAGGCCTCCGGGTCTTACTCTTCCAGCAAACTCGGAGTTTCACTGGTATGGTTTTTATTGCTGGAGTGTGGCCTTAATCGGGAGTTTGGTTTGATGGTCCTGCCCCTCGCTGGGTACCTGCAGGGATGTGCTGAAGCCGGGATGCCCGAGGGTGAGGTCAGCTCTGGACGGGAGGAGATGGGGAGGACAATGTCACTCACCTGCCAGGTCGGGATGTGGGCATCACCTGTTTAATTTGCCTGCCAAGGATGAGATAACAGCGTGTCATTGGTGTTAATAGAGGGAAATTATGGCTGTTCCTCATCTTGGCAGTGTGGCCTCAGGGTGAGGATGCTGGGGTCAGCTTGACCAACATCTTCCCTGAATGAGTGTTCGAAACACAAGGGCAGCTGCCCCCACCTCCATCACGAGGTGCCAGATAAGGGCTGGAGCTTTTTGCTCCTCTAATCAATCCTTTGTTTGGAGAAGTTTGGAAATACCTTGTGAGGAAGTTCTGTGTTGTAGAGCAGCACGGCAGGGTGTAAACAGAACTGGGAAGGCAGCAGGGGCTCCGCGTGGTGCCGGGGGAGGTGATGCAAAACCAGCGGTATCACCATGAAGCAACTTCCCGTCAGCAGAGCCCAGCCAGCCGTGTCGTGTCGGAATGTCACACTCTTGTCACCCTCACTGGGTGAAAAAAGAAAGATTTGGCATCCTTGGTCAGCCCCAAACAGGGAGGTGACACTCTGCTTTTGTCCCTCAGGGTGATGCCAACTTGATCCAGAGCCATGTCCAGGTACCTGAAGCATTTCACTGTGGTGGGCGATGACCCCGTGCAATGGAACAACGACTATCGGAAATGGGAGGAGGAGGACGAGGCTGGGGAGAAGCAGCCAGATGGAGAGATCAAGCTGGAGCCCCCCAGGAGAAACATCTCCTTCCAGTACATGATGAAAAAGCTCTTCAGCTCTCACAGGTTTCAGGTGAGGCAGAACAAACCCAGGCCGAGGGCATCTGTGCCATCAGAGCCACTGTGGGATGGAGCTCAGGGAGAGCACTGAGGTTGTGCTCCCACGGTGCAAAGAGCAGCAGCTGCTGCTGAGCTGAGCTGTGCTGTTGGAACAGAGCAAGCCTGCTGCAGGTGCAGATGTCTCCTAAGAGGAGACAAGCCCCAGTGCACAATCACCATGGCTCCAGTACGTGCTGTCCTCCAGCTCCCCGAGCTCCCCACGCCAAGCGGGGTCTGGTGGGGAGCCAGGTGGTTCATGTGGAACAGCCCACTATTAGGGGCAGTGGGAACAGCAGCAATGGAAAGTTCCACAAAACACAAACGGCCAAATCAGGGCTGTGGGCAATCAGGGTGTGTTTAGCTGAAGGGCTACATTGGCTCCTCTTGCTCCTCTGTCTGTGCTGGGATGGGATTCATGATGGTTCTTCTCCTCCAACAGATCGGGATTGTCTGCTTGGTAATCCTGGATGCCTTGTTGGTTCTTGGGGAATTGCTTATGGATTTGAAAATCATCCATCCGGACAGATATAATATAACCCCGAAGGTAAAATGTGGGGAAACGTCAACATGAACAGCAGTTCCCTCCCTTTGGTGGCTCAGAGCCCTCAGGATAGACTGGGCAAGGCAGGACCTGGACTTCCAGCCTTGCTGAGCCAGTGGTCATGGAAGGGAAGTCCTCAGCCCTTCTCCTTGTAGAGCCAAACCAGAGGTGCCCTCGAGCAGCAGAGGCTTTCCAGCCTGCCCATGTGTGCCTGGGGCTTCCTGCCTTAAACTTGTGCTCTTTCCCCAGGTTTTCCACTACCTCTCCCTGTCCATTTTAACCATCTTCCTGGTTGAGGTGGGGTTTAAAGTCTTTGTCTACCGCCGGGAGTTCTTCCACCACAAGTTCGAGGTGCTGGATGGGATCGTTGTCATCGTGTCCTTCATCCTCGACATCGTCCTCCTCTTCCGGGAGCACGAGTTTGAGGCCGTGGGGCTCCTGATCCTCCTGCGGCTCTGGAGGGTGGCCCGGATCATCAATGGTGGGTGCAGGGCCGGGCTGGATTTGCCAAACTTCCCTGAATTACCTGGGCTTTGTTCCTTTCTCAAACCCAGCCCCAGGGATCTTGGTCTCCCAGTGAACTCAGAGTTCCACCCGTGTGGTTTTCCTGGCTGGAATGTGGCTTTAATCAGGCTGCAATTTCTTTGGAGCAGTGACAATCTGCTGCTTGTGGTGTGATGCCTCAGGTGCATGGCAACCAGGCACATTCCCCCTTAAAAAAAACATTATCTGCACCCTTCTAGTGGAGAGGGATAGCTCATGGTTCTGAATTTCCCTTGTAGGATCCTTTTGGCAGGGGAGTCCCTGTCTTCCTGAATTTGCTGCTATACCAGAGTAGGTTTTAATACTCGGTTCTGCTGTGACTCCATTATGCCCTCCAGGGATGCTGCAGGGAATGTCCTGATCTTACTCTAGATCTTTCTTGCTTGAATTCAAAGGGTTTGCCATAAAAAGAGAAATAGAAAATGTCCCCAGTTCAGGCTTTAGTCATTTCACTGTAACTGTAAGTTGCTGCAAATAGATGTAAATTCAGACACATCCGAAATAAGCATAGCTGCAAACATTTTCTTCCTTCTTGAGGAAGGAATTTTGGGATTCCAAAAAATATGGCAATGAGGTGACCTCAAATTCCTGCATGAAACCTCAGCTCAAGCTCTGTCCTGTGCTGATGTTCTCACTTTTGCTGGGTGCTCCATATTTGACACAGCTGGGATCAGAGGAGGAAATTGCTGGGGCTGTGCCCATTGCCCTCGGCTCCTTTCAATGGGGAGAAGGTGCAGCCAGAAAGGAGAGATGTGAGAGCAGCTTGTGGCTTTCCTTAGTTCAGAGTGAAAGTCAGAGAGAAACCGGATTTGCATGTGGCTGTGGGAGCCGTGGGAGCCTCACTTTACAGCAGAAATCCTGGACTGCATTTACAAGTAAATCCCCTTTAAAAAAAGGGACGAAGGGGATCTGCCCCACGCTGGGGTACTGGGTGTCAGCGCCTGGGCACAGTTCCTGTCGATGTTATCAATGCAAATGAGCAGCAGCGCTGCTTTGTCCTCGGAGAACTGAACCCCCTGAGCCCAAACCGGTGCCTGGAGCACTGGAATCAGCCATGATCCAGAGGAGCTGTGTCAGGAGGGAGAACGTGATGTTCTTCATGCTCTCATCAAGCTGCTTTGTTTTATTTTTACGGGAACAAAATGCCTTCAGTGTGGGGGCTGAGTTGATCTGGAATCACCCAACAGTGCTCATAGAGAAGTGACACCTCTGCCATGAGGAGACACTGCCTGCTCTCACTGCAGCTGTGCAAGCCAAAGCCCTGTGGCCCCGAGGATGTGCCAGGTCCTGCTCCTTTGGGATGTGCCAGGTCCTGCTCCTTTGGGATGTGCCAGGTCCTGTTCTGCCAGGCCGGAGTGATGGGCCCAGGGGGTGGAGGAGCCCTATGGCCCAGGTCTTGTTCTGCTGTCACACCTAAAACTGCTAAAACACAGCAAAGCTGCCCCAGCTGCATCCCAGGGCTCTGCCAAACTCAGATTCAGGATTTGAGTGACAGTCAGAGTGATTAATTCAGCTCTGAGGCCAGGCTGCCTCTCCCCAGCAGAGTATCGGTATCCAAATCCCCCCGTGGCTGATTTCAAACTCTTCCTCATTAAGAAAAGCACTTGGGAAGGGTGGTTGAAGATGACAGAACTGAGCTGGAGAGGAACATGTTTAACTCCTTGAGCACAGAGCCTGTGTGCTGTGAACTCCTGTTTTACAATGTAAAGCAAACCCACTGTGGATTGTTCCACAGGAATCATTTTATCGGTGAAGACCCGCTCGGAGCAACAAGTGTCCAAGTTAAAGCAAGCAAACCTGAAACTTGCCACAAGGGTGGAACAACTGGAACACAGCTGTTTGGAGAAGGTAAAAAAAAAAAACAAACACTTTTAATTTGGGTTTGCCTGCTAATGGGGATCCTTGTGCAAGGTTGGCACTGTTGGCTTGGTTTCCTCATTGGAAAGTGTGGGGTGAGCTGGGCTGAAGCAGCACAGCCCTGCCTGGGCTGCTCCTCCTCCAAGGAATGATGTCCCTACCTCTGCCCCACTTCTTTTGGCCAGGTTGTGCTGTTTTCCTGCAGCAGGAGATTCATTGTAGCAGTGGGAAGAGCTGTGGGAAGCTGGGAAGCTGCTTGCAGTCTGTTAATGATTTGAATTTTGTCTCTTACAGGAGCAAGAAATCGAGAGGCTGAATAACATATTGAAACAGCATGGACTCCTCAGCCTGCAAAAATAGGAGGCCAGTTTTCCAAGGTGGGAATTCTGCTGTGTTGGAATCTGCCAGCTTGACCTGAAAGGTTTTTCTGTCTCTTTGCTTCCTCTTGTATTCTGTTTTCTATAAACATTTTCTATTTGACCCCACTTTGATCAGACCTTGGGATGGCAAAAATAGTTCTACTGAAAAATTAATCACACACAGTCCCTGTAAACAGTATTTTTTTTTCTTTTCTTGTACAGTTGTACAGTCAAAACTGCAAAATAACTTAATAAAGACATATCTTTACAAGCTATACATCCAGAAAAGTACCACTTATTTAAAATATTTTTCTTCTGTAATAACATTCTTTGTTTGCAACAAACTTGAAGTACAAATTATAAGAACCCAGGATGAAAAGGTAATTTCTTCTCCACCAGCTGCCTGTTCATCATCAATACAAATCTTTGCCAGCCATTCTTTTCATACTGTTGGTAGTTTCCTCATTTCTGTTGCTGCTTGTGCCACTTTGTTATTTATATAACATTCATTTCAGAAACACCAACACACCACTCCTTTCCCTGACAAAGAAATCAGCCCCAAAATAGAGGCAAACATGTGCCATCTTACATCAAACAATGCCTTGTTCCAGCAGCAGATCCCAGTTCTGCATTCCCTCATCTCTTCTTCCCTTTTCACTGTTCCTTCACAGCCCATGGGGCTGCAAAGTTCTTTGTTTCCACATCTCATAAATCCATGTATTAAAAGAACTGTAATATGTAAGAACAGATGTAGGTGAGTGCACTGCTGGGAACAGTCAGACTCCAGAAAAGCCATGAAAAAGCAAATTCTAAAAGGCCAGGCTGGTGTTTGAATTTTTTCAGGTACTAGAGTGTCCCTGTGGAGAGGCTTTTTGAAAGCTCAAAAGTGAGGTTTAAGAAGTGGGAATTCTGAGAGATGGTGACTGCAGCAGGTGTCTCCAATGGATTTCAGCCCCACTCAGCTGGAGGGGTCACTGAAAGCACAACTCAACTGTTCAGATTTTTTTAAAAAAGGTAATTAATTAGTAGTGTGGGAAAAATAGCCAGAAATATGTGGCTTATTCATCTATGCAAGGAGATAAAGCAGAGGCTTTATCTAATAGCACATGATGAGTTTAATTAGCAATTTAGCTCTGCTGTTTTGGGATAATGAACCTGCTTTCCCTGTGTGTCCCTCCTGCCTCTGCTGGGCAGGCTGGGGCTGGGTCCCACGTGGTGGCTGTGACTGGGCCAGAGCCACCAGCAAGTTCAAACTGCAACCTTTGTCCTCTGCAGAGTTATAATTGGGTACTTTCCACTTCATGGGGGTTTCTTCACCCTGAACCTTCTGAGAACACTCACAAGGTCTCACCCTTCCTCTCTTGGCCAATTTTAGCCCAGTATCTACAACTTAGAACAAAGTGATGGCCCATCACAGTCAAAGGATAAACAGTGGACTAAAAATAAGATAAAGCAGAAATATGGCTTTTTTTGGATGCATACTTACCTTAGACAAAAGGATAGAAAAAGTCAAAGGGTAACTTGATGTTAATGGTGGGCCAAGCTTTGTAGCTTGGCTCTGCAGGTGCAGAAATGTCAGTGAAAACCACAGAACTTGTTATAGGAATAATCCTTTCCCTTCCTGAGGGAAGCTGCAATGAAAATACAAACAGGACTTAGCTTCTGTTTTCTATTTGTACAATTGTTTTATCTGGTCTGGGTTATATTTGTTAAAAAGGTTGTTTGTTTGGTTTTTTTCATACAGTTCCATGTTTCTTTCCATAAATGATGTATAGATTTTTATTGGAGTGTGCTTTGGCAAGGAGCCCACAGTTGTGTTTGAGCTGGAAGAGAACTGCTGGGTGTAAATACATTCTAATGTGAAGTGCTGCCTTTAGATAATGAGATTTTCTGGGTCACTGTCACACAGCTGATGGCCAAGGAAAACAAGCCACTTGTTTTATCTTAAATCCTGTAATTTAATTACATACCTGCTTCAGTGTGGTGGTAGTGATTGTGGCTGTAACATTCACTATCCTGGCTTGTGGATTGACCAGGGATCCATATTTAGTCCACTTCACTTCTATTCCCAGTGACACTGGTATTTGGCATGAGCTCTGCAAAGTGTAAGAAATCATCTCATTCTCTGCTTTCTGCAGAAACCATCACAGTAATTAATTATTCATGTTATTAAAAGGGTAGAATGTCCCCAGAAAGCTCACTGAGGGGGTTACCAGAACAGCTGGACCCTGCACTTTTGCTGGGCAGGACAAATCCTGAACTCTGCCAGGGCAGAATTTTGAAGGCTACAATCTTAAATATTTTTATGCATTTCTTCTTGAACTATCACGCTTTTGGTTACAGAAACCATTCACTGTTTAGTTGCTGAAGCAAGCAAGAAACCATCCACAGCCTCCTATTGTGCTTCTCTCTCTCTTACCCTGACCTGGACTAAGAGGGGAAACACTGATTCTTTTCCTTCCCTCTGTGTTTAAACAACTCATTTTGTACCCAATAATTGCCCTGATCCATAGCTAAGGTGCCTGCATTGATTAAACCTAACTTGTACAGCAAGAATATTCTGAATATTCCATGAGTTTCTACCAGCTTATTTCTGCATTCCCAGCCCCATTTTCTCCTCCAGTTGGTTCCTGCATTTTTAGGGTGTGAAGCTGAGCTGATGCTGCAGCACAGGCACAGATCTCATGAGGGTGGAGGGGTGGAAATGGTTTAACTTTCACCTGTTCTGAGATGTGGAGCTGAGTTATTGGCACCCAGTCAAGCACATCCTGGGCTTGAGAATTCCCAAATGAGGCCACATACTCAGGGAAGCTTTGGCCCTTCAGCACATCAAGGAGGGTCTGAGCCAAAGGCTGGCATTTCATAGCTGCTGTAATTCTTTCAGAAAACAAAACAAAACAAAAAAAGGAGTTACAGCAAAATCCATTGGTTTGGCACAGTCATCATTTCTCCTTGCACTCTGCTCTGTTCAAGCCTTCTGGCTACAGTTGCTAATGTACACAATCTTTCCAAGAGAAAGACCATTGTTAATTAAATGACATTTTTTATAATTAAATACTCCATTCTCAATATTCTTCCAGCTGTATAAATGGTCCAGGACCTGAACAGAGCCTAAGGGAAAAGGTTGTCAGAGGGTTAAAAGCATTAAATAAAAAAAAAAAAAAAAAAATTACTTCTTACCGTAACTTACAGCCTGATATCATGTTATAACCAAATAATACTGGGGCTCTGGCTCCCTGTGCTGCCAGGCAGTCCTGGGTGGATGTGCTGTGCAGAATGGTGAGTTGGCTGTGTTTGTTACTGCTCTGAATGATGCCAGATGTAACACACAGTTAAGGGAAATTAAATGCTTGATGGATATCAGGACAAAAAAAGAATCCTTAATCATAACCTTAAAATATAGCTGCAAATGCTATAATGGCTCAAGATTCCTCTCACAGTGTGAAAAAGCACCAGGGTGTGCAATGAAGGGCTAAATGTACCTCACTACACAGTCCCAGGAGATTGCAGTCAGGACTGAGTCATTCCCTCCTAAAACACAGCCAGAAAAGCACATTTTTATTTTTGGTAGAGAACAGATGTATTTCATAGATGTCCATGCTAGAAAGGGATTGTGAGGATGGACCAGAGCAAGTGCAGCAAACAGAAATGGAGCAGGGAAAGGATATCCTTGAGGCTGGAATCCTGCTCTGACAGGCAGCCCAACAACATAACCAGGATTGCCACTCAGAGCAACTGGCTGTGTATTTTCCTGCAATGCAAACAGAGAGTATTAGGGGTTTTTTTTTCCTGCACTGAAGTGGTTGAAAAACACAGAAATATTTCAGTTATTTTAGGATTATGACGTGCCTTGAATGATGAGGGCAAGACTGTAAGTAAGGCTTTGCTTTCTCTGTTATAGTCACAAGCTGGGGCTTGTAAATGTGAGATTTTGGAGGTTTTTACTGCCCAGCTCTGAAATGCTGCCTCATCTGGGTATCCAGGGCAAGTTCTGCTTTACCTTGCTGCTAACAATTGTTCTGCTTCAAGTTTAATAAGTTTTGTAATTAAATGTCTTTCACCAAGTCACCCATGACATCTCCACAGTTACCTGAGTGAAGCTGATTTCGAAGCTCTGCTCTATTGAAAGTTCTTCTTTGCTAATTGCCCCCAAGACAAAAGCAGCAGCTGCTTCTATTATTTCTCCCATGTCTGTGTGGGTAATGTGATATTTCACCTGAAAATTAAACGTTTTAGATATTAATTTGAACAAATACATAAGAGAAGCTAGAAAATAAAATTAAACCATGCAGGCATTTTCTTTGTTCTTTGCTTAAGAAACTCAGCTCCATGGTGGGGATGGATTATATCCTCTACAGGCTGGAGCCTGTTCACAACTGACTTCTTGATAAACCTGACCACAGACACAACGTTCATCTACTTGAAAATTAAAAGATGATGTGCAGCATCTATTCCTTTCTCTGTCATTAGTGCACCTGAAATCATCTTCTCCCAAGCATAAAGTAAATTCCAAACCCATGTCATTGTCTGTTTTGCCACATACACAGAATGAACACCAGGATTTCAGCCTGGCTCAATGTTATATTGCACAGAGTTATTATTTTGTTGCAAAACACTCCCTTTCATCCAAAATCAGTGCTTCTCCCGTGATATTTACTTTGGAGATGTCACAAAATTTGGGAACTGCAAGGCCTTCCTGACAGCTTTGCAGTTTGGGAATCAGAAGTGATTTGATGCATAGATGCTTTCCATCAGCTCTGAGGAGGAAAAGGCTGCCAGACCTACCCCAAGAACTGCATTGATGCACAGCTCATCCAAAACCATCGGGAGCCTCAGGACATCAGTGCTGCTCAGTAAAGTCCTCATTCCATTCACAGACTGCACGACTATGGACTGGACAGTAATATTCACCTGAAAAAACAGACTCGTGTCAGCTCTGAACACTGGGTGTAATTAATTTTGGCTCTTTCTGTGTGATTATGTGTGTGACCTTTCCAGGTTCTGTTCCACAGCAACAGCATGCAGTAATTCTCTGAACAACTGCTGTGTTACAAGTACTGCTGAAGCTCAACCAAAGGGGCTGGGTTTAAATAAATAAAGAGATTTTCTTGAAATGAGGGAGATTTATATGAGGGGAATGTATCAGGCTTGAATGTGTGCAGGCAGCATTTTATCTTGGAGTTGCTAAGTGTCATTACTGATAGTAAATGATGTAATTTTTTTAATGTAAAGATTTGATCAATCAGTGAAAAATTCCGACTGACTGTAACTTAATAAGAATTTTGCCCACAGCTTTTCCAACTAATTTAGAAGGGTACTTACCATCTGACTTGATTTGGGCACCTGGGGGAGAATAAAAGGACAAATTAAAGCAGTAGCAAAGGTCTGACCTATTGTACATAGCAGTCAAGTAAAGCAGGTGAGGCTTTGTCTATTTAACTCTTTCTCATAACAATAACTTTTATGTTATGGAGATAATTTGGTATAAACCAGAGTATCCAGGAAGTGTGATAAAGACCTGCCACAATCCAATCCCCTCCTTCTTCTGACTCTTAGAATTATTTAGAGACCACCAGTTTAGAAAACCTGCCAGGTTGTGCTTCTCAAAGAAATGAAGACCTCTTTTGTTGTCCTGTCCCATAATTTCATGGTCTCTAAACCAATAAAACAGAATCAAGTATCTCTCTTGTTATACAGCACATGGATATGTGTTGCCCCACTGAAAAATTCCCACAAAAATATTTCATGGAAATGCAGAAATGTCAGACTAAGGTCATTAATCAGGCTGTAAAGTACTCCTATGGAGCAACATTTTGTCAAAGTTTTACTTTTTTGACTTTCCAATGAATGCTTGAGTCACATCTTTGGGAAGCTACCAAGGATTGGACTCTGTTCATGAAGCAATTCTGCAGAATGATGATGGGATACTGAGAGCAGTGACTCATCTCCTGTCCCAGCAGGGAACACATTCCTGGGAGCTGGAGACCTGAAGGTGATGCAGGTACAGTTTGTCACACATTTATCATCCCAAGGTACAGCTCAGCCATCAGAATGAGCTGGATGAATAAAAGTCCTTGTAAAGATTAGACTCTATAAAGATAGACTGTTCCTTCAGGGAACAGTGCTGTTTCTGACTGGGTGGAAGGAGTGAGCACCACTCCTAAAGTTCTGTTTATCCATGGCTGGGGTGATGGATGATGTGTCTGGAGGTCACTGGCAGACAGCACTGCAGCCACTCTGCTGCCTCAGCTTTCCCCCCGAATGGAGGCAGCAAAGGCAGGAACAGCTCCCTGCTTTGGCAGCTACACCCCCCACTAACCACGGTGTGTGTGAAGCACCACGGGGAGGATCCTGCTGGGAGATTCCAGGAATCCCCAGCGCTCCTTGGATGTGCTGGTCAGGCCAGGGCAGAGAGCAGAGATTATCTACAACAATTCCCAAAACGTTGCTCTCACTCCAGCTGCCCATCCTGGCAGGGAGGGAAGGTTCCTGGGGCTGGGGCTTTCTGTAGGGCCCGCTGTCCCAGTGCTCCCAGTAAGGCTCCCTCAGTTACTGGTTTGCCGTTTCTTTTGCCGGCAGCTCCACCTGCTGGCACTGGGAGAGCTCCTGCTCTGCCCCGTGACCGCCCTGTCCCCTGAGCCATCGCCTTTGTGTTGTCACATCCCACCTCCAGCTCCCTTTGGGAAGGGAACCTTCCCACAGAGCATCTCCAGCAGCTTCTCAGGCCTTCTCCAGCTCCTGCATCTGATCCCTCCGGACATCCAGAGTGCTCTGGGCAGAACTCTGACCTCTCCCAAGCTCAGCTATTGCCTTGGCAAGCAGCACAGGAATAAGGGCTCATGGACTTTTCCAGTCAGGAAAGGAAATTCATCTTTAAAGTCAAACCCACTCAGCTGCTGGAGCCTGGCCTGAGCCACTCTTGTTATTTTTTGGTCCTGCAGCCAACAAGAACTAATTTTGGGAGAACATGGAGAAAACACTCAAAGCCCTTCTGAGGCAGTGTTTTCTCCACTTCTTCCACAGCAGGAGGATGAAAAGCCAACATTTGGGAGCAATCCTTGGCTGATTTCAATGAGATCCTGAAGGAGCAGGAGAATGATCCCAGCTGTGAGGGTGTGAACTGCTTAGTGGGCTTTCCTTGCCTTTGGGAGCTTTGGAATCTGTGAGCAGCCTGGAAAGGGTCTCTAAGCAGTTACTCACTGCTAATTAAAATAATTTAAATAATTACATAAATTAAAATAATTTTAATGGTGAAGAGATTGCTGTTTCTTTATGACCTTCAGATTCTGGAAGGAGCCATCAGGTTGAAGTATGATGTATTTCAGTTTCATTTTTTCATGAGTGATTTCTTTGTATTCATGAATACCCTTATAGGGGATTTATTTATACAGAAGACATCATCCTCCGGATCAGAAAGGGATGAAAAAGTAGGCAAAGCTTTGAAAAATAACCCCAGACTGGATTTTAGCAGGCAGGATCCAAAGAAACTTGCTCTCAGTCATGTTCTTTGGGAGCATAAAGGTTGTGCCAGCCCCCATTATCAAAAACTGAGGCTTGGAGGAAAGGGGCAGATGGGAAGGATTAAACCTGACAGGTTCTTTTTTCAGTACAAAGTTTTACCAACTCTTTAGAACTCAGATTTCTTAGAATGATGTGTTCTGGTAAATGGGCTTCTTGGAAAAGCCTGAACATGCACAAAAATGTGAAACTGCACTAGCTCAGTGGCATGACCTTGGCTCTTCAAAACTATTATTTTTTACTTTATCTTTGACTATATTATTTATATTTGGCTAAGCAGAGCACAGCAAATGCTTCTGTAACCAAAGCTTGAAGTAAAAACATTCCCAAAGTCTTTCTGTATAAAAGTCTGCTGTACAGGGAGGCATTTCTTCCCAACCCACAATTTAAAAATCCAAATAAAACACCATATCCCTCAGTAAATAGAACTTACTTCATTCTGCAGATGCAAAAAGAAATAAAATATGAATATTTCAGCCATATGACTGTTTCAAATCATACTTACTGCCAAAATGCTGGAGTTGATATAAAACAACATGCTAAGTGCTTGAATGCTGTCACATTTTTCCACACTTACTGATCTAATGCATTTTGTGGCTTGGTTTACTAAAAACCCTGGGAAAAAAAAAAAAGTCACCAAGTATTACTGGAGGAAATGAAAAAGCAATTATGAAAACCATAAGTGAAAAACAATACAAGAACTTAGGTACAAGCAAAATTGAAAGTAAATGTCATTTCTGTTGCAGATAAGGTTTTATGTGAGCTTTGAAGAATGAAACTTTTTATATTCTTTAAAAAATGCTGTGAAAAAAATATTACTTATTAACAAGATGAAAAAGCTTCATAAAAATTACTTAATTTTTGAATCTCTTACGAGATTTTTTTTTTTCCACAAGAGACTTGAGTTCTGTAATCACCACCACGACTCTTACGAGACCACATTTCATGATGACAGTGGGGTTTGGAAAATGCAGGTGTGGGTTTGGTTGTGGCTTTTTTTTTTTTTTTTTTTTTGCCTCCACCTCTGCAGATTTTCAGGAAATTGTGTGAAAGGTTAAAATGCAAAGCTCAGCCTCAGAGTCTGAGTGGTGAGAGGAAGCCCTGGGCAAAGGGAAACTGCCAAAGGCTGCCCAGGCTGGGCTGGTGCAAAGCCCTCCTCCCTCAGGGTGTCACCCTTGCACTGTTTGATTAAACCAATTATGCCAAAAAGGACGTTTTATTGTTGGATAAACAACCCTTCAACGAGATTCTCAGGGATTTACATATCTCACTTTGATTGTTTATAATAGAGATGCAACACAATTTCCATTACACATCTTAAACAAAACAGAAAAACAGAAGTGATTTGAAAATCATCTGCTTATGAACCTTTAGCTGAATTCCTCGTGGCAAATGTGCCAAATTTCTAACTGACTAATCTCAAGGTAGAGCAGAATACTAGAAAGCAAAAAAAAAATGGGATTTAAGTGCATTATCCAACCTGCAGGATTTGCATCAGAGCACCAAGAAGAGACAACAGGACTTGGCAGCCTTAGAAATGCATCCTCTGTCTGCACAGGAGCCCCATACTGCCAAATAAAATGCACAGTCAGGTACACAGGTGTGTTTCAGCCCATGGAAAGGTTCAGAGCATTTTTATTAACAAATATATAACAGTATTTATTTCCACAGGATCTTTCAATACTGCTTTGTGCAGCAATTCTTCAGTCACTGCTACAGCTTTATGTTGAAAATAGCAAAAAAATAAAGTGACTTATTTTTTCAAAGATCTTGAAAATCTAGTTCATTTTTACGTAACTAAACACAAAAGATTACATTTCTTCTTTTTACATTTCTATATTTAAAGACCAATATAAATTTTGCTTCTTCCAGCAGAACTGCATTATTTAAAAGCAGATGCAAACAATGATGATTTATTCTTTCTGGAATAATCTAATACTAATTGCATCAAATATAATTTACCTCTTAATGAATCAGAGATAATTTACCTCATATCTGGAAGTTTCATTTGCCTCAGGGGGATTTTGAACATCTGTATCCAAATCCCAGCTGTCAGGCTCAGTCCTGAAAGAAGCACCTCCATATTTTTCAAGCAACTGATCAAAATTTTCTGGAGTTGGGATTTCAGGGGTTTTGAGGTACAGGGCTTGTTTATCTATCAAAATATTTAAAGAAGGAGATAATTTAAGGAAAAAAATATAGAGAAATAACATTTAATAACAATGAGAGAACTTTGAACATGATTTATTTAAGATGCTAAATTATTTACAAAAAAAAACCCCAAACAATTTTGGTTTTTTCATCAGAGAAGATCAAGAATACCAGATGTTTAATTCCATGTATTCACAAGTGAAAGCATCACAACATAAGGACTGTGAGCAGACAGAATTACCAGTTTCCTGAGAGGTTTAATAGAATAAAAATAGTTTTAAATTCAGTCTTTTTCTGGTACCTTACAAAAAACAACAGCACAATGGTTAACATTGCCTACAAGTCTACTTACAGTTTGTAGCATGAATGCAGAAAATACTGGGATTGACTTGGTCAGTTAATTTAAATATCCTTTCTGGTGGATTTGCTTCAACATCAAGAGAATACACAGCAGCTTTCTGACTACACAGCCGCCTGTCACCTCTGCAAAAATAAAAAATAAATAAATGATCCACTAGAACTTGACCAGACTTTAAAGTTCATCTACTGAGGCAGTACTAGAAAAATTTTAAAAAGCATGAAATTACTGTGTTAAACACAATTTGTACAACAGTCATGCATCCTTAGAAGGTTCCTATTGTTTTATACTTTGTGCTTAATAATAAATAATAGAGAATTGTGCCATATGTTTTATTCAGCAGAGGAAACTGAGCAGCAACATGAACAAAGGTAAGAAACAGACTGGGGGAGGGAAAACCAGTGACAATATGAGAAAGAAAATAGCAAATTAGGTGGGACCCCGATGGTTGAGACCCCAAAAATGCAGAGCTGCACCACAGGCCAAACACAGCTCAGCATCACTTTCATTTCCACAAACCAAGTGGGATGACAGAGCAGGAAAACAGTTTTGTGGATATTGGAATAATATTCATTTTGAGCAAGGAATTGGAAAAATTCCTGCTTGAGATACATGTAAAAGAAATGGCAGAGTGAGGAACAGAAGGTGAAATAACCCAGCCTGTCTTGGGAAAGTGTTTAAGGCTGTGCCACAGGCTCATCAACAGCCCAGAAGTGCAGCAGAATGTGCCAGTTCAGAGCCTGGGAGCACTGCTGTGTCCTACATGCTACAAACACAAGCTGATGATCCTTGTGAAACTGTTATTTAGCAGGATGGAGCAGCTAAGGACAGGCCCTGGAGAAGTGAAAGGACTTGGAGAAATGTTGAAGCCTGGAGTTAAGCTCTTCCATGAGGTGAGTCATTTGTTAATAGGATCCCATCATAAATCAAAGCCTCCTGCTGCTGTTTCAGAGACCTCACGGCCTCTGCCTTGGGATCAGCCAAAACAACACAAATGTGCAAATGTAGATAAACTCTGATGTAAATAATGAGACCTACAGCAACTGCAGACACTGAAAATCCCCTGGCTTTTCATGCAAAATAAACATTTCACACAAAAGAATTTGGGCTAAGAAACACAACTTCATTTGAGGCATTTCCAGTTGACAAAGGCAGCACAGTCACCCGAGGCAATTAAAGTGTCACTCAGGAGGGCGTTGATTAGACCTTTCTGATCTATATAAATATCTATAAATGGGGAGCAGGAGTCTTTGTGTGCCAGAACAATAAGAAACCACAGTCTGGCATGACTGCTAATTCAAATTTCAATGCACCAAGAATAAACCCCGGTGCTCAGATTGGCATAATTTATACAGAAGGTGGGTTGAAAAGCTGCACTTATTGTTCTGAGAAGTCACCAAGAGATTTTTTGCACATGATGATTTTGAAGTGAGCTTTCTTAACTCCTCTTTGAGATGGAATTGGGTGAAGGTGTTTTCAGATAAACTAAATAGCAAAGAAACAACTCTTGGCTTTACCTTATTGGTAGAATGTTTTAGTGTTTGTGAAGTGGCAGTGAGGGAGCAGGTTGTAAAATTAGGGTCAGAAAAATGCTCACACTATTTCAACAAGCTTTGAATTAATTAAGTGTGTAGCTGATATCACAAATCTAATCAAAGAGGTAAATTTACTGATAAAAACTGGTGATCTACAGAAGTGGCCTGTGGTATCAGTTTTCTTAACTTTCAGACACTGCACTGATGAAAGTCTAAAGCTGCATCATTTTCCACCCCCCCCCCCAAAAAAAAACATCACCACCTAAATCCCCGCAGAGAGGAGCACAGTGAACCAGGAGGAAAGAGGGAATGAGTGGATTTGCTGCTCTGCCTGGCTGGGACCAGAGTGCAGGAGGGACTGAGGTGAAAGAGGGGGTGAGGATGGCAGCAGGGAGGGGCAGGAATTGTCAGAGGAGAGGACAGAGCCCCGACAGAGGCAGGCAGCAAAGGAACAACGATTTTGCACTTTCTGGCTCTTTCTGCACTCACATGACCACAGGGACGGTGCAGGTGGTGAAGAGGCTGAAGTCCTCGGCGCTGCAGTCGGGGTCACAGCAGCAGTTGACATCACACTGTGCCACCAGCAGGTCGCAGACACACAGCCTGGCAACTGCAGCACAGAGCGAAATGAGAAATGCAGCGGGGACTTGACACTTCACTGCGTGTCCCGAACACTCCCGCTTTTCACCTCGCCCTGGTTTTGACAGTGGTCAAAAGTCTTCTCCAAATTCACGTTTTCTTGAAGTCATTTTTAAAAGATATCTTTTCTGCTGCTGAGCAAATCTATTTGGAACATGTGCACAAAACTCTCTGTTCCCTGAGAAACAAAACCCCAATTCAATAGGGATTTTGGAGGTGTGAAAACCTACTCAGCCCTCAGAGGAAAAAAAAAAAGAGCTACAAACAAGGTGTGTTTATCTGCTTGTTTCAGCTTATTGGGAATTAAAAATAAAACATTTTGAAGAGCAGAGAGATGTTTACAAGTATTGAGGATGTCTCAGGGTCCAGGAATACATTTCTCTGATGTGCCAACACAACCATAATTGACTTCTTTGAAACTGTTTGTTCTCTCTGTTTTTAGATACTGTGAAATATTGCTATCACAGACAGAGTAATTGCTAATAATTCTGTAAACTGGCTCAATAAAATATACACTTGGCAACTTCATGAAACTGAGATTTTCAAGTTTATAAATTAAAAGAACAGATATTACTCCACTGAACTGTTTATGACAGTTGCTGTTCTATAATTAATCTACACTTAAGAATAGCACAGAATGAGGGAAATTAAGGCCAGAGTTTTATAAGAAAGACACTCAAAGAATATTTTCATAACTAATTCTTTTATTTCACTTTGACTGCTGCCTGTTTCCCTGTGGCCTCTTGGATGTTCTCTGACCACCTGAACAGTATCCAGGTATTTCCTGGAATCTCTGAAGTTCTGACTGTCCTGTTGGCTGAGCTTAGCCCTGGATCCTTAGCTCACCCTGTAAACAAGAGAAGTTTAAACATGGATGATTAGATTGCAAGGTTATTTCTGTGAGATTAGGGATTTAAGTCTCTTTTCCCTAAGGAGGTAGCACTGGGCTGGGTTTTGCTTGGCAAGTAACCCATGGAAAGCTCAGCTGAGGGCAACACTGCCGGGATATAAAAGTGTAGCCAATTATACAGAGGGAAACACCTTCTGAGAACAGAGTAACCAAACTTTGTGAGCTCTATTTTTATGACAATGTATCCACAGCGCTAGGGCTGAGCCTTGGGGCAAAGTGTGCAGCCAGCTCGGGGTGTGCGTGGAGCTCTGCAAGGACATCCAGGGCCAGCCTGGGCACCTGTGCCAGGTCAGAGAAGTGCTGGGGGGGCAGAAGACCCTGCCCTCCACCCGCACCGAGCCTCAGGGCTGTGGGATGCCCAGTATGTGATGTCTGTGCCACCATCAGCGGGGATGCCCAGCTATGTGATGTCTGTGCCACCATCAGAGTGCTCAGAGGAAGCTCCGAGCCTCGGCTGCAGCGGCTGAAGCGAAGCCCCGGGGGAAGCCAGGAGGTTGTGCCAATCCCGGGCGATCGCAATGGGAAGGGGAAGCCAAAGGCCGAATGCCCGAGGGAGGCCGCGAGCGGAGCCCCCCTCAGCCGGTGCCCCGCAGCTCCCGGAGGGCACCCACCGTCCGTGACCGGGGCCGGCGCGCTGCGGACCCGTGCGGCATCATGAGTATCTCCGGGCTCTTCTGCCCGGAGCGGCGGCGGCGGAAAGAGGAGGAGGATGAGGACGAAGAAAGCCCCGAGCTCCGGCGCCGCTGTCATGGCGGCCGCCCTTAGCAACGGCGCGTTGCCAGGGCGCGCGGGGCATGACGGGAAGGGAGAGCCGCGCTCTCGCGAGACTTGGTGGGCGGAGGGGAAGGGCCGCGCCCCGGGAACATGGCGGGGAGGGGTAGGGGATGGGTGCGGGGATTTGTGGCTCGTTCTGCCGCCCTCGGGCTCCCTCATCGCGGGGAGCCTCGGGGAGAGGCCACGCGCAGGGTTCTGGCTGGGTATGGCCGTCGTGGTGGTGCCAGGCGGCCGCTTGTGCCACCCAGCGCCCTCAGGAGCAGCCCAGCCCGGTGGTGGTGAGGGGTCGGTGCCCCCTCAGAGCCACGGGAAGGGTTTCAGGTGTCGTGATCCAAGTGTAATGCACAGAGGTGCTTTGGGAAAAAGCTCTTGGAAGGCCACACCTAAAAAAAAAATAAGGGAATGGCCCCTTGCGAGATACAAAATACAATATTTCACTGTATTTAAAGTAATCTTTCCTTAAAGTCATTTTTAAAGTGTTGAAGTTTCTCCTTTTGAAGATGCTGTGGATCCTCAGTGCTCAGTGAGCATATTTAGTAATTCAATTGTAATCTTTGCATGTCCGCAGTTATCTCTGAGGTCTTTTTCAACCTAAATTATTCTTTTTTTGTACTAATTTGAAAAAAAACTGGGCTAGAGAGTGACTAAGTGATCATCTTTCCTTAGGGTTCCTTAGACCTTTTCCAACCTTAAAAATTCCATAATTCTTTGATCTGCTTTTATTTCTTTTTTAACCTGACCAAGTTCTTTAAAGCTCTAAAAAAGCTCTAAAATTCCAGCTCCATCCACTGAAAATGGAAATAATTCCACAGTGCCCCTGCTTTACAGTGTCCACATCACAGCAGTGAGGAGTCACACAGGACAGAGGCCGTTTGATGTTATCAAAGAGCTGGTACAGGATGGGTTTGAAAGAGCAAAATCCTGGAGTCATCCTTGCCCACGGAAAGACCTCGTTCCTCCAAGGACACGGTGACACAAAGGTGAGAACCTGGTGTGCTCCACTCTACCTCAGACCTTACACCCCAAAATAACCTCACCAAAAATAACCTCCAAGCTGCCTTCCTTGTGAAATGTAACCCCAAAATCTCTGTGTTTACCTTCTTCCACAGAGCTGGTGTTTTCAGTGTCTTTGTTTCTTTGCGGTTCATGAGGTGGCCAAAATGCTGTTGCTGGTGTTGGGTTTGTTTTTTGGTTTTTTTTCCAAGCTTAAAGAGTGACTTCACACACTTCCATTTTGAAAAGGACCTGTAAAAATGGCACCACAGGGCTTTATTTATTTTGCTTCTCACTGAGGCTGTACCAGGACTGGCTGCAGCCACTGAAGAGAATATGAGCTTGTGTTTGGAGGAAATCCTGGGAATCTTTACAACTCCATCTCTTTCACTGTCCCACAGCAAAGGAACAAAAAGAGAAGCAATCCTACATGAAGGACAGCTGGAATATGTGGCTCCCTCTGGATGAAGCTGATTTAGGGGCTCACAGCCCCTTCAACTTCCTTGACTAAGCTCCCACATGGTCAATTAACAGCCATGGAGATGTTTCTCCTCCCTACAAGTCCTGCAAAGTTGGAAAATTGCAAAGTATTTTGCAGGCTTGGAGGGAGAGTGGTGCTTGGTTTATTTATCATCCCTGGTTGTGATCTGTGTTCTTGTTCCACTGCAGTGTCATGAGATAATTAATACTAAAACACCCCTACTTGTTAGTTACATGTTTTTGATGCCTTTTAAATCAGTTTAAAAGGGCTGATGATGTTGCACAGGGGGAAACAGAATTTAATACATTCTTCTTGCATCCAGAATTGCTTGGCAAAGCTGATGGTGCACAGGGGACCAGACTCCAAGATGAAAACCAAGCTTTGCTGAAATCTGAAAGCACAGATTGCATCCTGGATGAATGTGGGCAGGAGTTGGATGAATAAAGAGGTATTAGTTCTTACTGCATTTACCATTGAAATGGAATAGAAGTGGGCAACTGTTCAAAAGCAAAGTAGGATGGAATTAATCTGGTTTTCTCGTGACCTTTTTTTTTTTTAGGGCTTCACTCACAGCAACAGTTCACCTAAACCCAATGCCAATACTTGCTGTAATAGAAAAAAAAAAAAAAGGCAAGACAAAAGCCACATCTAAGAAAAACCATTTGAAAAACCTCCCACCACAAAACCCACCCTGGTATTGGACTTCTGGAACAGGTTCCAAAGAGCAAATCCAAGTGTGTAGGATAAGATCAGGACATCAATACATAATGCTTGTTCTCCAGCAGAGATTTTAATTTATCCTGTAAACATGAGTTAATTAATAATTAAAGAGGGCACTGTGAGCCTTAAGTGGGAGGTTCTATAAAATGAAAATTCAACCAATTTGAGATGCAGTAGATTCCTCTTTATTAAAAAAACATGTTCAGGGATTTACTCTATTACTGTTCCAATTACAGTTTAAGCAGCAAGATTCTGATATCATTTAAGCATTATAGAAGCTGTGACTGCCCCATCCCTGGAAATGTCCAAGGCCAGGTTGGAGCAACCTGGGGTAGTTGAAGGGAGTGGAATGAGATGATTTTTGAGGTCCCTTCCAAACCATTCTGTCATTCCTGTTGGTGATCTTTTGACTCTGCATTTTCTCTTGACTCTTCATGTGGGAAGTCTCATATGATTCTTCTCACATTAGTTTTCTTTTTAATCCAACTGTGCTGTCTTGAACTTCATCTTTTCAGGGCTAACATCGGGTTTGCCCTATGACAAATCACTTTAAAAGTCCAAGTGGACAGGCATTTGGAATTAGAGTCCAAACAAAGTCAAACCAGGCTGAAATAAACTGCATTTAAGATCAGCCCTTAAATAAATAGTGAGGAGCTGGGGCAGTCTGTACAGCAGATGGCATTACAGGTAGTATTTATCACTCTCCAATCTCAGGGCTAAGATACTTGGGAGGGAGCACTGACGTCAGCTACAAGTGAATCAGTTTTAAAACAAGCTGGAAACCTGCTTGTGCCTTCAGCAGTTGATGACTTTGTGCAGCACTTCTGCTTTGTACTCCCCTGTGCATTTATAGGTCTGAGCAAGCCTAGCAGGAAGAGTTCATTCTGTTTTTGCAGCTTAAGTGAGCTGATGCAAATAGATCTTGGACTTTGAGGTGGGAAGATTCCACCCAGCTGCAGTAACCAGGGGGATGCCCTTTGCTCCAGTTTTTGTGCCAAATTTGTGCATTGGGGAATTTTAAACAAATATCACTTGGCAGGATATCGACTCTCAGGGTACAAGAATAATACTGAGTAAGGCAGCAGGGCATGGGCTGGGAGGCATTTACAGGGACAACTAGGACAACTATCCAGACTGAGACTGAACAGTGGAGAAAACCAGTTCTGAACTATTTTATGAAAAATAGTTGGGTTTTTGTCTCACAGGAGCGCAGAGATCCTCTGAATGAAAACCAAGAGCAGTTTTTCATCTGGGCACAGCATCCTTGTGCAGGATTCACAGGGTTCATCAAAGGTTACTAATTACCCTGTAAACGATGAGGTCGTCTGGCTGTCTCGACAGACTTGGGTGGGTGACCTGGGGTAGAATCATGTGATCATTAAGATTGGAAAAGACTTCCAAAATCAAGCCCAACCTTCGACCAAATATTCCCATACCCACTAAACTGTGTCACAAAGTGCCACATCTACTCGTTTTTTGAACACTTCAAGGGATTGTGACTCCACCACTTCCCCAGGGAGGCTGTTTCAAAGACTTTCAAGGATGGAAGGGTGTGAAGAGCTCACGGTGTGCCTTGGCTTGCGGGCACTTAGGGAAGCACAGAGTCGTGCTCTGCCAAATGAGTTCATCAGCCCTGAGCTCACGATGTTCCTCAGCATTTCAGCCATAGCTGCTGGGCAAAGTGGCACAGAGAGAACCCTTCCAGCCCTGGAAAACCCAGCACTGAGGCATGGAGAACTCAGCTTTAGCTGGGGAGGATCACAGACTGAGCAGCACAGCCAGGTAATGCAGGACAGGTCACCTTGCACCAGCCTGATCTGCCTCAGGGCACTGCAGGCTGCAGCACAGAACAAGGGGTTAGGCCAGGCTGGACTTGAACTAGACAGGACCTGGACAAGGAGGAGGAAGAACGAGGTTCAGGGAAGGGAAAGAATGATTCTGTGGGGGAAGCTCTGCAAATATGTGCTTCCCTTTGCTGATAAAGGAGGGCGTGAGGCACTGAGATGAGCTACCTTGTTTGTCTGCTCTCACACCCTGCCAGGCCCTGGCAGCAGCACTCCCTTATCTGCAGCACATTGGCACATTCAGCTCTGCAGCCATTCCCTAATCCACCACACTGGGCCTGGGCTGCTCCTCGTGTTCATTCTCCTTCCCCCTGTTCTGACACGAGGATTAATTTTTTAATAAGTTTGGATGCAATTTCAGCTTTAGCTGGATAATTCTCACGCATTGCTTATGCCTTTAGCAGTGTAAGGGGGGCAATATTGTCTCTGCCAAGGTACCCAGGGAGCAAAATGCCTCTCGTGTGATAACGAGGGTGCTTCAGCAGCGTTCTTGTCGGTGGCTTGTGGCAGGAGCTCTTCCTTTCACTGCAGGCAGCTCGGGGGGCAGGTTTCACTCTTGCCTCTGCTGCATTTACACCTCTATTGTTATTTATGCATCTCGGTTATGTAGGCGGCAGCAGCCTCTTGTGCGTGTACCCAGAGGAATTAAACGAATTTGCAGAGCAACCTGCTGGGAACTTCCAAGGGGAAAAAGCCATTTTTTGCACACCCATGAGCAGCACGGAAAACCGAGAAAATAAGAAGAAAATAAGGAACTGGCTCTTTTTGAATATTGTGGGTCTCTCCAGCATCGATGCCTTAAAAGTCGTTGCTGTTGAAGTTGTCCAGCCGAGAGATTTGTGTCACTCTCAACTACAATTAACGTGGTTTTTATGGGGTTTGAATGATGACTGCACAACACACCCTTCTCGTGAGGCTTTTGTTTGGCACTTCACGTTCCTTAACCAAAATGGATTGA